GTATTTATGTCAGTGATTAAACTAAACTTCTTCATTCAGAAAACAAATGCTGAACAACTACCAGATGCAAAGTTTTGCTGTAACTAGTTTTGTCATAAATACCATCATTTAATTTTAGAGTCAGATAACATTGTTGTATTTTTTTTCTGGTTTGTCAGATTTCTTTTTAAATTTTTTTATTGCCAAATAATGCACATTGTGTTTTAAATCAAAATAGTAGTTCACACCCCACATACCCATGCTTTGGGAAACAGCAGACTGCATATAAATGGAGGTCCTATAAGTCTGTGTTTCCTGGCATTGTGGGAGATGTCTGAAGTGTGTGGAAGTACACACACATGATGACGGCATGTTGGTGAAATTGCCAAACAGCACATTCCTCAGACCACATTGCCATCATTAAGTGAAATATGGCCACATACAGTAAGTTAAAGGGATTTTATAAATAATTCAAATGAAATACAGTAAAAATTTAAAACTTTAGTGAATGTTCATTTACCTGATTAAAATGATTTCTTGCAGTCTCCAATTCTGTATCTATTGTACAAACAGAGATTTCAGCTTGCTTTCTCTCTTGATCCTCTTTGTTAAATTCTGTTTCTTTTTCTTTTAATGGGTTCTTATTTTTTTCATGTAACATATCATCATTTTTCTCTTCACCTCATCTTCTTTTAAGGTATATCTGAAGTTAATATGGATGCCTTTTAATTGATTTTTGCCAAAAACAAAAAAATGTCTTTTTATGTTCAGGCTCTTTGTATGCTGATTTAGTATCTTAATAAAAATTTTATGTTCTCTGAAGCTTTTCTAGTTTAACATTTTAAATTTCTCCTTTAATCTTGTGTAAAACATACATAATTGAAAGTCAATAATAAAAGATTGTTTTGTTATTTGATAAATTTCTGTTACTAGCAAATCTTTTAGATACCACAGAAAAGTAAATTAGAAATGATTTGGTAAATTGACAAGTTTAGGGTAATTTATTTGCACAATCATAGGTCCTCCCCAGTTAAAAAGATAATTTCATTTCAAATAAGTTTTAAAGTCATTGTTTATATACAAACTTATGAATTCAGTAGTAATATCATTTATCTTCATAAAATATGTCAGGCATACCTATAATTGGCTTACAGTATAACAGCATATTCAGACATTCTTTTTTCAATATGTGTCTTTTGGGGCTGGGGCTGTAGCACAGTGGTAGAGTGTTTGCCTAGCATGAGTAAGGTGCTGGGTTCAATCCTTAGCATCACATATAAATAAAATAAAGATTTAAAAATATGTATCTTTTGTATTACTATAACCCCAAATTGGGATAAATAATCTAATACCTGTTATTTTAATTTTTATGTTTCTTTTATGGTAACACTCTCAACTTACCTTTTTGATCATTATGTATTTTACAAAAAATTCAAAATCTATTTTTGAACAAGATGGGACCTAATATTTAATCCAATAATGAAGAGTAATGTTCTTCAACAGATGAAAGGATAAAAAAAATATGTGTGTGTGTGCACACACACAATGGAATATAAGACATAACAAAAATAAATTTATGTCAACATATAGTCTACTGTCATGTATACCTAAAAAACATAAAAAGTATATGTCCTTTCAATATAGAAATATGAACAAATTTATGAATGAGAATGAATTTGAATA